GGACTCTGCCGACACCCTGGAGCCCAGCGCTCCTCTCTGACAGTTGCAAGAAAAAAAGCTCTTTGGTGAAGGGATGCTCAACACCAGGAGACACACAGCAGCAACTGGGACAGACTTAACTCCAAGCCACTTAGAAACACTCTAACAAGTTCACTGTTTAAGAATCTTGCACTTTCTGCAGACAGATACAATTATTATTTTATCTGGAAAAATATTTACCACTCCAATAGTGCAAACAGCAAGTTCCAATAAATGTTTGCTAAATGAACATTAAAAAAATATGTGAGTGGTGTGCTCTAAGTAATCACACCAAAAGACATCTTAGGATCGCCAACCCTTTTATTCTATTGCACGTATGCAAATTTCCAAATATGCGGAAGGCGTGCAGTTACGGGAGAAGGTAACCAAGGCCACCGATGAACTGCTGGTCATTGAGGGCTAAGGGAGATGGACGGGAGAGCGGGAAGCTGCTTGTTTACTTTAAACAAATTAAGAACACTTTTAAGCAACATAACACAAAGGAAGAAACATCGTGAGATGTTCTAGAAAGGCAAAACTAAGTCAGCAGCCCTGCTTTTGCGTCCTGGCTCCCCTTCCACTGGTTATATGGCTTGTGGAGAGTTACAGCTCTTTCCTGAGCTCAAACTCCTTAACAGTATAAATAACAATTGCTGTGAATGTTTTGGACCATGGCCTCCAACTGAGATTCCTTCTGCTTCCGAAATCCTAGAAGAGTGCCCCCTCTACAGCCTTTACCACGGGGAGTACAGGAGAGCACTTCACAAGAGTAAGCAGGGACCACCTGGAGAGCTGGACAGAGACCAGAGCCCCCAAGGTTCTGACCCGGGAGGGGGCCAAGAATATGCATTTCTAACAAGCTGCCCAGAGGCAAACCTTGCTTGAATGAAAAGGGTTTTGGCCCGAATCCTTAGCTAAGGTTCAGACCTAGCTAAGGTTCTGAGAGGCAAGCTTAGGAGTTAGCCACAATGCTCCCCAGAGGGCCTCAGCAGCCCTAAAAGCAGCTCGTGACCTCCAAAAAACGTTCAGAGAACTAGACCAGTGGGCAGAACCAGCCACAACTGAGATCCACACATGTTCAGAACAGCCTCATGGCCATGGTGGGCATGTTCTACAAAGGAGCCCAAACAAGGGGTGGGGGTGAGGGGCTGCCTCAGTGGGCTGGGGTGGAGCAGAGGTGATTCTAGGCACCACAAGGGGGGGTGAACTTTATCAGCAGCCCCAGCCTCTCACCTGGGAGCACCCATGTCCCTTGGGGTATCAAGGAAAGAAGTGTGACAAGTGATTGGAGCCACACTTTGCTCCAGGAGCGCCTGCTGAAAAAGCTGCTCACAAGTATTCTGTTGGAAACCGGTGGCACAGAGCTGTCCAGAGTCCAACCTGAGGACCACAGCCCTGAGAAGGTTTGGCTACTGGGGCAGGCGTCAGGGCTGCAGGGCACAGGTCTGAGCCCACAGTGTCAGACACTCCCTCTCCACCACTTCTGGGGCGGCAGGGATTTGCAAATGCAGAGAGGCACCAGAAAAAAGGACTTGGGGCAAATATGACATAGCAATTATGGCAACTATACTCATGGGCAGGTAAAGATGAGGGCATGGGAGTAACAACTGGGGCAGAGGGGGGTTTAAAAAGGACAAAAGAAGGAAGAGAGATGAATGAAATCTGCGCTTGGGCTCAGGAGCACGAGCTTACTGAGATGTCCACGACAAAAGGGCAATGAAGGACCTTATCATTCTGAGCATACCCTGCACATCCTATCTGTGACCCAGAAGCAATATGGCATGTGAGTTTCTAGCTTGTGTCTCTTCCTTTTACTGAAACACCAGTGAAACCCCAGTAAGGTTACAAAACTGGGCAACTCTTGATTTAGAAATGCCTCATCTGGGAAACATCTTTTATGTCTAATTAATACACTCCAACATGGTGAAACATGAGGGGAAAAAATTCATTCTCTCTTTAAACTTGCTGCATTGTAATTTGGAATAGATCTGTATTTTTGAACTATATTTCCCAAAGAAATTAATACTTTTACACCATTAATATTTGCTTATTACTGACTTCTAAAAAACAGATGTTAGGCTATATACCATTTTTAGAACTGTGAGCCTCAAAAATATGAGTTGAACATTATTTCTATAAAAAACTGGAAATTATAAAAATAAAGCCCTACGGCATATGCTAAGCAGCAGCATATACTACAGAGGAAGGCTGGTACAATCCTCTCTGGTTAAACATAAATATCTAAAAATGTGGTTCCAATTTCTTTCTCTCTCTCTTTTTAAACCATGCTCATTTTCTTTCAAATTACTTCCAAAAACGAAGGTCTCTCTGATGTTAATCATGTGTACACTTCGGCTTACACTTTAAAGAGTCTTCCTCTCCTGGGAAGTGACTTTTGTATACAAATCCTGGAAAGCTACTTAGACAAAGTGCTGGAGATGATTAAAAGGGGCCAGATTCAAATTTATACCTTAAAAAAAAGCAGAAGCAGATGTCAACTGACTCGTTTGTGTATATTCTGGAAATGAGTTGAAGATTTGCATGTGCATTTCATCAGGACGTTTAAAGAAGTCTCCACTTTTTACTGCGGCTGTGTATCAGGGACAACTTGAGAAACTAAAAATACTTTGAAACTTACATTCTGACGTTTTATGCTGGATACCTTGATTCGTCCTTACAATCTGATCTAAAACACTTTTTACTCTGACAGAGGCATCCACTCATTTAGAAACGACAGCTTTTAGAACTGAAGACACATCACATATACTTTATGATCTAAGATTAGTAAAGGAAGAACTAAAGTAGCATTTGTTCATTTAATATTTAAATAGCAAAAACTTAATTTCCTCCACCCCCTCCACTGCCCCCCCCTTTTAACACCACAGAGGAAACAAAGCTGCAAATTCTTTTTGACCCACCAAACTTTACTGAAAAGTGCACTGAATATCAGACATTGAGCATCTTGCTGAGTCCTAGAAACAGAGAGATGATATACATACAGTACAATCTGGGCCCCCAAGGGACACCCAATTTGACTGAGGAAGGCTTTTCAGGAGCAGTACTTGGGTTATATTTGCAATGGGGTAGGGGGAGGAGGCCGAGAGGAGGGAGGAGATGTGGGGGCAGGACTATGTCCTGCAGGAACACAGGGTGCTCTGCTCAGTCCCTGCTAGAATGCCCAGCAGAAGAAGCCTTCCTTCCCAAAGGATGTAATGTCTTAGTGCTTCACTCCAATGCCTCCTTCCACTGAAACAGGAAATCTGTTTTGCATGTGGCCAAAAGAAACTGGATGAGACCATTTATGCAGAAATCCCAGACTGCTCAGCTTGTTTCATGAGGCAGTGATGAAGCTTCTAGAAAATTATAGAGGCTAATAGTCCTACTCAGACTTCTCATAAGTCACCAATGAAAAAACCAAGCAACAAGTAAATGTATGTATGATTTCTACAGCACATTACTCTGTGACCCTGAGTCACACTGACAGATTCTTACAACTCCCTGTTCCTAGAGTTACTTTGACAATGTCATCCTTCAATTATGTAAATATGTCAAAGCATCCACCCAAGTACTCAGTTACACTGTGGGTCTAATCACGTTGAAGTACAGTTCATAAGTATGACCAAAACCCAGCAAGCCCACAGCGAGAGCAGCATACAAGCTGTCTGACACCAGCAACCAGCAGAGAGAGTAAAACACTCAAAATAGTCAACAGTTACTCTGAACTAAAATGTTCAGGCTGTGTTTGTATTAAATTCATCTGCAGTGACAGAAACCCCCCACCAGGTGGAGTTCAAAGATTCAAGCTCCACCTCTAACTTCTTGGTTGTTTAACTCCAACCATTTCACATCTGTCCTCATTTGGGAGACTTGGCTACTTAATCCTCTCAAAATTACTAATCAACTGTTTTTATTTCTTTCAAAGTAAGTAATATGCAGAACATAAATTCAACCAGGAAAGATATTTTAAGAAAAATTAGCTCATTCAAAAAAAAAACCAGTTCATTAAAAATAAAATGAAAAGCAATGAATTAAGTCAGATAAGACTAAAACCTCCAAGAGTTAAGATGCGAGACTGAACTTAGAGACCATCAAAACTTCAGGTCTCCCTGCTGAAAGCCACCTCATTGGTCCATTTCCCAGTTACCAAGCTCCCAATTCTAGAGTCACTTTAATCCTCAAAGAGCAAGTTTTAGGTACTAAAACTGGCCAGTGGTATGGCAGATGTATCCTAAGATGAGCACGCCCACCCCTATGAGTCATAATCTCGTGTAACAGGTGGAACCTGTGACTTGCTTCCAACCAAAGGACTACGGCAATGGTGATGGGCTGTCATTCCTTTGATTAGGACACATTACACAGCCACTACATTTCCGATCTGTCACGCAGCAACGGAGAACCAACACACTTAGTGAGGAGAGGATGTCCCTGCAGTCCACTGTGCAATCTCTGCCAGAACTCAACTCTTCTTCCCAGCCTCCCAGCCACCAGCTTTCCCCATATGCCGAGGAATCACTGTCACCACCGTCTTACACACGCTTCACTGTCTATACATAAGAAAATGCATGCGTATAGTTACATTTTTCTCCTTTCTACAGCAGTACAGATGGAACCATATTATACATGTTATTCATATTCTTCCCTCCACATTATCTTGGGAAGGAGTCCCTAGCTGTACAGAGCTCACTCCCTTCTGATGACTGCACTAAACTCCATCATAAAGGGTGAACCACAATATTTTCTATCAGTTCCGCATCAATGGAGAAACATTTAAGACTTCCGACTGTTTCCTTATAAAAATCTTATGTGTATGCATCTGGCATTTCACACTGAGTAGGACCAATTCCTGGAGGTGGACTTCTCCTGGGTCAGAGGGCATGAGCACCTGCAATTCTGCTAGTGGTTGGGGACTTCTGTTTCAGAAAGCTTACCTTTCAATTTCAACAGCAAAACCAGACATTTACTATTTGGGTTACTTCTGTTCAGCTTACAACACTGCTTAAGTTCAAGGGATGAGCACCAAAAATGAAATGGGAATGGATACTAAGTGAGCATGTCCTGCTTTTCCACAACAAAACCAGGGTGCCACTCTGAATCCAAAGCTTTAGTTCTCAAGACTCGCAGTAAGAGGAACCCTGGTTGTTTTAACATGTGTAGAACGTCCACAACTGTGCCCCACATACTACAAGGACTGAGTTAATATTTACAAACTGAAGTAAAGTAATAACAAGGGTCTTAATTGGCAGGGAGCAGACAGTGAGGAATGAGGGTCCTTACTTTTGGTCCTTACTTTTTTAATTAGGTCAAAAGCCTGGTGTACAAATATTTACATCTAGTAAGACTCAAAAAAGAAAGCTATACACTGTTTAACTGGGATATTCTACCATCAACCATGTTCCACAAATGACAACTTTAGCTCCGAATTACTGAAAATTTGTATGTAGTAAGTTTTTGCTTTCTTAATTAGACTTTAAATGTAGAAGGGACTCATTATTCAAAGCTCAAGGGAGAATTCTTGTCTAAAATAATTTTAGATTCTTTCCCCCAATGAAAACAAACCCCTATGCATCCAGGTACACTGGAATTTCTCAAATGGATCATTAGTGCAAAGGTAAAATCTGCACAAAGAACAGATCACCTTCTCTCCTACTCTGATCTCTTTTGCTGCATCTAGACAAACCGAAGGCTCCAGGCCTAGCTCAATGTAAAAAGGTAGGCCATACAAGAAAAAAAAATAAAATAATTTTTAGATATAAGAGGCAACAGGTTAAAATATCCAGTTGTACATAGTACTTACTGCTGGTTCAACTTGACTTCGATCTGCAATATCTATGTGGACAATTTCAACAGTTTTCCACATGTTTGGATCTAAACCGTGTACCTATAAGTGACAGAGAAAAGAAACAAAGCAAGCTGTAGACTCCTGTTAGGCAAACCACCACACGTACATATATAATCTTCATCTCAAGTCTCTCAGAGCACATTATGAGGAATAAAAAAATCCAAATTGCTATTTCATTAAATTAGCTTTCTGAAAGCTGGAGGGATCTAGAAATCTTTTGCCCCTGTAACCTCAAATATTAAGTGAGGGTGGGAGGTGGGCAGAGGGGGAGAGAGCAGAGATGATGCTGCCAAAGTATCAGACATCTGTCACCATTACTTTCTGGTAGCCCGTAGAAATGGTTTATCAAAAACTGTGCCTGACCTATGTTTAACCCAAATGATATATGACCAAAGTCCTTGTGACCTCTAAGTCCTAGATAAATAGCAGGTGACATTATAATTAGATTTCAAGAAGCTGCCCTGTATGGTCTAAAATGTCTCCTGAATTTGATTATCCTAAAGCTATTCAGCTTCAATATATCAACTCCTGGATACTTCACGTTGTTTCATGTTGTTCAATCATTTATTTCTGAAACTACATCTATGAACCCACTAAGAATTGTTTAAAACTGGCCACAGATATGCCCATCTGAAAGCTGAAACCAGTAAATTAAATCACACAGACTAAAGCATACCAAACCACCTCATTTAGACCCTAAATTTTAGAGCTACGATGAAAAAACATGAAAAGTCAAATGATTATCTTGAAGAAAAACTGAAGCCAAATATTACAAATTGTAATTCAAAAGTTCACACAACATTGTAAAATGACTATAACTCAATAAAAAAATGTTGGGAAAAAAAAGTTCATATTGACTGGCACCAATAACATAAAAGCAGAGGAAGAACAGAATCTACCACAATTACCATAAACTTACTTTCCTGTGACTGCCTATATGGTTGGAAGAGTAGTTCTCAAACTGGAGTGTGCACCAGAGAACAGACTGCTGGGTCCCACCCCTGAAGATTCTGATTCAGCAGGTATGAGGTGGGGCCTGAGCACGTGCATTTCTAACACGTTCCCAGATGCTGCTGCTCCAGGGACCACACCACCGGGCCAGGGCAGCGACCTGTACCAGATGCCCTCCCAAGGTCCCTGCCAAACCTCACCAAACGTTAATGGCTACACTGAGTCTTAACTGATTTTTTTTTTGAAATTTACTTCAGGGATAAATACGCACCAATTTGTAAAAGCCAGGAGCCTGTCAACATTTTTGTAAATTATTCAAAACACATTCTCCCTCCTGCCTTTTGGCTGTTTCTCTGAAATCAGATCCTGTATCCCAGCAAAGTGGAACGGATGTGAAAATTAAAGCAATCAGTTCTGCTGTGTAGAGCAGCTCTGGCAAATACACAGATGAAAAGATGAAAAAAGTTTTTAATTAATGGCTAAAATTAGCTCAAGGATTATCTGTGAATTTTGTTTATCCAGGCTCTCCCTGTCCCAGATAGAGAGCTGCTGATAAAAACAGCGACCTCACCCAAATCCACTCACACACCAAAGCAAGAGGACTGACAGGGGAGTCCCATTGGTCTCTGACTGCATGCTCGCCTCACTGCCATCTGCCACACAGCCCAGTGTGGCCAGGTGCTAATCGAACCTCAGGTGGCATCACTTTGGTGATGGCAAAATGGACTACAGTATTCCCACTTCCAAGGGCTTCTACGCTGAAAGCCCAGAGTCAAAACTTACATTTTCTAATGTTCCCAAGTCTGGTTTGTGCCATGTTTCAATTTTAATGAAGAAATCATCTTTCATATATTCATTCTGCAGAAAACACAACAGCAAAATGACAGTGATCTTTCACCGGTTCTGTGGGGTTCATGTCTGCAGGAGCTTTCCCCAGCACAGGCATCCATAATCTGACTCCGTAAGACTGATCCTCAAGTGACAAAGAATCATTAGCCACCGATTTTTACAGACTTGTCAGGCAAACCAATTGCTGCATGCTTTTAAATAATTTAAAACAACCCTGCTTGTCATGCAGCGTGCAGGGCTAATATTACAGAAGCTGTGAGGTTTGGTGAGCGTATTTGGCATTCAAAGGAAGTAGCAGAAGCAAAGTAAAGTCAATAGGGAGATGCTGAGCCACGGAGGGAAAAAGCCCATTAAAACAGTGGAGCACGTGGAGGAGTGTGAGCTGGTGCAAGGAGCACGGACAGGGAGCCATGCAGTGGTGGGCAGTTTTAAGAAAAAAGCAAGAAACAGTTGGAAATAATTACTATGTGAGGCAAATTTTAAAGACGAAGGGTATGTGACATAAAAATAGTTTTACTCACCGTTACAACTGAGGCATAACGAACAGGCAGGCAACAAAAGGGGAAAAATTTCAGAATGTTAATCGGAGCCCAAACAGTCTGCCACAATATTAATAATGTCACAAAGATTAAACTACCTGCCAACACAGAACATTTGGTTTGTATCTACAAAACACAGAATTTACACAAGTGACACTACAGACTAGACTATGGAGTCGATAATCTAATTTTAAAACAACAGTAAAAGGAATAAAGTCGCAAAAGCAAAACATCATTTAAAAAGCTAACTTTAACAAACAGAAAACCGTGTCAGAAGTCTGTCTGTCATACTGCTCCTCTACTACGTGGCCATGTAAGTAAAATACTGTCGAAGCTACATCAAATGACACTTCTGAGTAAGGATGACCTTTCTTTAAGGTTTGTTTTCCTTTGATTTGCTCTCCCGTGGAGTCTGCTTGGTCAACGAGGACCTCAAGGTGGCTGTCATCTGGGCATGAACCTGTGCCCCTGACAAAGGCCTGGGGGAGGGACCTGATGCAGCCTCTCCTTGGCCATCGCTCGTGCAGTGACGACCTGAGGACCCACAGAAGGCCTTGCTTGGTGCCACCCTTCTCTAAGGCGTGGGCACTAGAGTCCCTCTCCCGGTCAGCAGCAGGGTCAAGGGGGGAAGCGGCTTCTGGGAACCAGACTTACTTGTTCTACAGTAGGGGTATGCGTTCCAGGCTTTCTCGTGAAAGACCAAGGAGCCCTCAGGAGCAATCATCCTCACGAATGCAGGAACTTTGCTGTGAGGAGAGAAATACTGGATATATTTTCAACAGCACCATCATCTCTGTTGGCTTTTTATCAGACTGCTTCAAAGAGTACTCAAGTATAAAAGTAAAAATAACAAAAGTGATTAAGACTATGTTTAACCATAGAGAAGACTGTTTTTCTAAAGAGAAGCAATTCTTTCTCATGGGCTTCTGACCTACTCCCCTAATATGAAATCTAAGGGTTAACCGAAGCCATTCAACCTGTGCATAATACAGCACAGAAGTTCTCTCCTGTAGTTCAAAAAAGACCACACTACGCTGTACCTGAACGCAGTAAAGATCCCTAGAATAAGGTAATGACTCTGAATAAAAGTCTCAACACATTTTACAGATTAAACCTAAAGAAAAATGATAATGTGAAGGAACCATGTAGAAAATAAGATCTTAAAACATATCCAGGTATAAAATTCTGTAGACTCGGAAAACGAATTATCAACTGCTGCCTCAAGTATGGTGGGAGGAGAGAGTTAAACACATAATTAATACATGATGAGCTTGTGCAAATAATCAGAAAAGATCCCAACAGATAAACAGGCAGAGGACATCCACGGACACACCACAAACAGAAAACACAACCAGTTATCAAACAACTGGAAAATCAGTCTTATCAGTCTTCAAAAAAGGGCAAATGAAATGACCATTTGCTGAGAGGAGCCTGCAGTGAAGAAAGCAGCTTCACCTGCACAGGCTTTTCACAGACTGGATTCAAACCCCAGCATCACCACTGAGAAGCTGTGTGGCCCTGGGCATAGTGCTTGGCCCTCTGAACTTCCTCATGTGATGAATGGAGCTCACCTTACCTACTCTGCAGGGTCACTGAGAGGACTCAACGACAGTGTCTGTGAGGTGTTCAGCACACTGTGTGGTACAACGCGAGCTCAATAAATGGCAGTCACTGCTTTTTCAATATAAGCTGACGTGCAGCTGAGTACTTTGACATGCCTTTCTTCCCTTTAATCCCCCAATAACACTGAGAGTTAAGCATTAACTCATTTCTCGTAACCAGCATTTAAGTTTCTATGTAACTGTATGTCAAAGTGATATCCTCCAACTAGAAGCCCTATATAATTTTTCCCATAGCAGAGGTGCTGAGAACTTTCAAGCACAACTTAATTTCCTAAACTAAGAGAAAGAACAAACTAAAGACACGTGAGACCCACAGAGGACTCCTAGCCCCACAGGAAGATTGAGCAGTTGACCAGAGACATTCCTCCGTTGAATTTTGGAGCCTAATTAAGCAAGGTAGATGTAACGAACCCCACACTGGCCAGAGAGCTGTGCAGCCACAGAAAAGCAGCGTGGCCGGCCCTGCCCCTCTCTCCCCAGCACACAAGAATGGGTACACAGATGGAGCTTCCACTACTGTGGCAAATTAGATCAATGGAAAAGAAGGTGAAGCACTGCTGTCACATATGGCAGTAGGAGCAAGATTCTGGGGGCACACACCTGTGCCTTTACAGCCTTGAAAGATAATAATCAAGGAGGGCTAATTCTTCGAGCACTTAATTCTTTGGAAATCTTGGGAAATTCATGCAAAAGGGTATAACTTCAGAAAAATGAAGCCATGATAAATGAAAATAACATCACATTAAAGGCCAAAGAATATCTAAAAGTCCGAATTATTTTTTCCATTGCTGAAGAACTGAAACCAAAATCCCTTTAAATGTGGGAGAGGTCTCATCAGGGTATAATGTACTACATGTGGGTAATTTTTTTAAACACAAGCTACAAGATTACCTGTCCATCTGAAAGTATGACAGATTATCAATGGTTCATTTGGTCAACTTAGAAAAAGCAGGAGAAAAACAGCTGTGCATCAGCTCAAAAACATATTTTAACTAACCCATGTATTCCTATAGAGCCCAACACTTTAAAAACTTTAATATTCACCAAAAGTTCTAAAACTTGCTAACACAAACAGAAGAAAATGGGCAGTCACTGAAGTCCAGCAAGAGCCAGAGCCGTAAGAAAGCTCTCGGACTTCTTCATCTTGCTTCCAGATGCCTGTTACTCCCATGGTGTCTTTTCTACCATGTGATTCCAACAGTTCATTTTATGTTTTGACTTAGTGAAGAATGACCAAACCTTTGAGCAAGCTGTGTTTGAAATTTACTGGCTTTTTATGTTTAACACAAGGACATTAACAAACACATCTCTCCTCAATGAATTTAAGTAAGAGATTAAACTTAGGTAAAATGTATAAATGGAAATTGAATTTCAATTCTACTTTAAAGGAGAGGAATTTTCATTGATGGCAACTTAAATATATTCCTAACAAGGCAGTTCAAGTATGCCATTTGTGCACAACTGAAAGCACATACATTGTTCTCACCTCAGTATCACTTAGGAAGTCACTTTAGTAACAAGCAGGAAATTCTGTTTTGGAAGCTTAGAGTCTTGGAAAAGGGACAAATATTAACTGAATTAACAAAATGGAGTTAGACCTTCAAAAACAAACAAATTAAAAAGGATATTCCTCCTCTTATACTCCCAAAATATTCACCAAATGTTGCCCTTTCATGATAAACCAACACTCATGACAGTGTTAACCTCAAGGTAAACCTCAAGGTAGATTTCAGCTGCTTAAAAGTCAGTCATAGCATAAGGTCCAAAAACACAAAGGTTCTTTGCCAATACACAACTCTTCCCCCAAGCCATCTCTGAATGTACAGTAAGAATATTTAACTTTACGGTAAAATTCAGCTGAAGTGTTCTATTTATTGTGTTGCGAGGAGACAGTATTAAGAGCTAATCTCAGTATACCAATGGTTGTGAACTTATCTGCAGTGAGACAACTGTCACTGTGGTAGAGGGAAATAAAGGGCTTATAAGGTTGAAAAGACACATAATAAATGACCACACCGTACCCTGAACTCCTGATGTAGGAACAGCCTTTTTTTTTCAATCCTGCTCCTGAGATAAATAATACCTTGGCAAATCATTTCAAACTGCACTTTTCCCAATGAAATGTTTACATCTTCTTGTCGACAAAATGAACAAAACTGTTCAAAGTTCCATTTTGCCATCCTTCTCCATCCTACAGTGGATAAATATCAAAATGTAGAAAAAT